CCCCCCCCCCCCCCCCCGCCCCGCAAGAAATATAGTCAGCTGCCTCACAATTTTTAAAGGCTATTCCAGGAACAAATTCATCACTGATTTTTTGCATGTTCACAGAACAACAAAAATGATTAGGGGCCTGGGAAGCATGAACTACGAGGGAAGGCTGAAAGAAGTAGGGGTATTTAATAGTCTGGAGCAGAGAGAACTGGGGAAGGATTTGATAACAGCCTTCAAATACATGAAGGGCTATTACAGATAAGATGTAGCAGTGGCCATAGGGGATGGGACTAGGAGCAATGGCCTCAAGCTTCAGCGGGGGAAATTTAGGCTGGAGATTAGGAGGAACTTTCTGAGGTGGTCAAGGATTGGAACGGGCTACCTAGAAAAGTTGTGGAATAGCCATCCTTGGAAGTTTTCAAGAGCAGGTTGGACAGAGACTTGGCGGGATGGTTTAGTCAGAGATAATCCTGGCTTAAGGAGGGGGCTGGACTAGATGACTTCAGGAAGACCCTTCCTGCCCTATGATCCTATGTTCAAACTTACGGACAAAAGGTCCTGCCAGTCACAACCAGAAGTAGCCCAACCTCTTTCTTTAACTTATTTGCACCAGTTGCAACCAAAGGAGCCAATGATGTTGGCAGGCTGTTATCAATGCACGTCCCTTGTACTGAGAAACAAGTTCAGCTATCAATGGCAGTAGGAGCCCAACCCATTCTGCATACAGCACTAAAGAGCCATTGATAGGAAGGACTTTCAAACATTACCCATCTGGGCTGAATGTGTCAGCTAGTGTGCCAGTCACAGGCTTCACAGCCAATCCCCAATTCCTTAAGCAGTTCAGGCATCCGCCGTCAAATGACTTCCACAAAAAACTAGATGCCTTTTGTATTTTCAGCATTGAAAGGGAATAATAGAATTATATATGTTAAATGAGGGAGAAATTCAAGTGACACAATCATCTGTCTAATCAGTGTAGGGTCTGGATCCATTTTACGTTCTCGCATAAGCTTAGGTGAAGGGTGTGTCTGAAGATGAAATCCAGAGCGGCCTTGGCAGTGGAGGATATTTGAAACTGGTTTTGCATGTACCGTGCCTCTATGCATTTAAGGAACTTGGGTGGGATCACAGAATCATAGAAATGAAGGGCTGGAAGGGACCTCGAAAGATCATCGAGTCCAACCCCCCTGCTCTGGTGTCTGTCCAGTCTCCTCCTGAAGACTTCCAAGGTTGGGGACTGCACCACCTCCTTGGCAAGTCTAGTCCAGATTCTCTAAAGCACCAAAAGGTTTTGGGAGCACAAGTCACTGTGCTTTAGAAAACCTCACCTTCTGTCCGCAGAGAGGTCAGCTATTTGATTTGCACTCTCTCTCTCTCTCTCTCTCTCTCCCCCACACACACAAACACAGATGTGGTTGCTTCTGTTCAAATTTCTTAACTGAGAAGGATGGTCACGTCACCCAGAAGACGGCTATTTGGGTCTTTGTGCAGGGAAACAGCACTGACGTGATCTAACTGTGTCAAAGCGAGGATTTAGAATTGCCCAAATGACTCAACTCTTCCCACCTTGTGACTCCAGTGCAGGTACAACTGCTGGCCTTCCGACAGCAAACACATTGCTAGGACCTGTGAAATCAAACCAACACGTACATTTGCAAGTGTTTCATCCCATAAAAACCCGGTTAAATGCTCTCTGGTGACATCTGTTCTCAAGACCATATGTCTCTGAAGACGGGTGTGGAATTATACTGCACGGCACATTTTGAATCAAGCATTACCAAGCCCGTACTGCCCAGGAAGCCCTTCCTCCAGAGGTCTCCCAGTTTAACCATATGTTTGTGCGACCCCCAGCAACTACAATCCCTGGTCAGGGGAGTAGCAAGTACTGCTTACGTGAGTTTTGGGGAGACAATTTAATGGAAAAGGGGGAATGAGCAACCATCTGTGAACTGCATCAACATCTGTCAGAAACAAGAACAACATGAATGCAGCTCTTCCTTCTTTTTATCCTTAACACACAAGTCCTATGCCCTATTGCTTTTCCACCTGGAAGGCTAGAGGCATGTCACCAATGCAGCAGATCTCTACGTTAAGTCACTGCCCAAGGATAAGAAATGCAAACAGTGCATTCAACCAAGCAAATGCAAAGCAGGGGCATGGCAGAAAGAAGGCACCTCTAAGAGAGAGCGTCTTGGCCAGGCGAGGCTGGTACAGCACATTCTGTGAGCTGTGTTTAAACCCCATAACTGGGGCCCAGAAAGCAAGTGCAAGGTAGATCCCAAGGGCATGAGGCTCTGCTGTCTTTCGAGGAAGAACTCACAGCCCAATGAGATAAGTAACAAAGAGACACCTCTAGTACCCTTTTGTGCTATTAGGATTCAGGCATGGTACAGATGGCTAAGGTAGCCCTAGTACAATTTCATTTGTGGTGGGGAACCTTAAGCCACGGCAGGACGGAGTCAGGGATAAGGGAAACACCTCCTGAAGGAAGCATATCCTTGGGGGGGTGGGGGGCAAAGGAGGGATATAGTATGCAACTGGTGGTCTGGGGCAATTGTTCTCAGGTATCCTCCCCCACTCCCATGCATATCTACACCCTGTGTGGTGCATGCCTCCTCCTTCCCTTGTGCATCCCCTACAGCAGAGATGGGGAGGGGTCCTATCTTTGGCTGTCCTATGCAAGGCCAGTGCTAGCTCCACCTGGATGCAAAGTTTACGGGGCAGTAGCTTACAGGAGCTAGGTGCTCCCCTCCCCCAGTACTTCACCTACAGTGAGGCAACATGGGTCGCTTATGATCCAATTAAAGCACGCTCTGCTTCCAGGCTGGTGCTGATTAGGAGTTATATTTAGCCAAGGGAGAGATCTTGCATGCAGGTGCTATCAGTAAGAGGAGTAAGAGAGAGAAACTCAGTGGAAAATCCAAAGTAGGGACTGAAGCACTCATTGAAACATGACCATCCTTTAGTCAAATCCTGGCCTTGGTTTGTAATGACGCACCACAGAGAATGAAGCTATTGCCCAATAACTTCATCCAGGAGCTCTGTTCTCCCATAAGCAAAGTTGCAAATACCTGGGCATTGCCAAGCAGTCACAACCTTGGCTTAGCCTCATAGAGCCATGCATCTGCCTCCTAGGGGTAAAATATCTGCATCTATCACTCCAGGGTAGTGCATCTAGGAACAGCACGTGTTTATGACTAACACCAGCACCTGTACGTATGCGGGCAAAGAGAAGGATAAGTCAGGTTTCATGCTCCAAGGGCAAAACTACTGTCCTGTAGGAGGGACACAGTCAGCAGTCATTGCTGGAGACAAAGCAACGCTGGGCTCTTGTACTATTGCACATCCCGCATACCTGTTATGCTTCCTGGACTCCAGCCTAGCTAATCACCCTTTCTGTGCCACTTTTTACACTCCCCTGAAGAGCCGAACAGCCCCCACAGCAATAGCCTTCTAAGCCCTGTCTTCCTTCTCCATAAATTGTTCCTCAAAACCCACCCACTGGTACTCTAATGTCTCTGTGCCATTCCACTGACAAAGATTTGTCTCCGTGGCCTCCCCCACAGCTAGCTTGGGAGGCGTCTAGAGAAAGGCCACCTTTTGACATCAATGCACCGTCCTCTGCTATCATACATGCACATCTGGTATATGGCTATGGCTACAGCTATGGCTATGAAGCCCCAGCTACATCTGTACTAACAAAATATATAAAAGCATCTTCCGCGGTGACCTTATCGATACTACGAGTACAAACCTAAAAGACTCCCCTACCTGCACACCACTCATTCACTGCTACCCTCACAAAGGCTGAACTCATTAGCCTGACGTGCAGATAATCCCATTGTAGAAAATGGCGACGTGCTGGGATGGTCAGTCCCAACTGCCTCCAAGCTTTAATTTGACGCTCATCCCAGTATCTCTTGGGATTACTGGAGGTATACATCAGGGCAGGATTTATCTAACAAATTCAAAAGTTTTGGGCCAAATTCAGGCCTGATGCAAATAGTTGCAGCTCTATTGATGTCCAGTTGCCCATTTAGTTCAGTGGCAACGTTGCAGAAGCTCACATATCTCCCATTGAGACAGCAGCTGACTGAACTGTCCCCAACCAGACTTTTGCACTGCTGTTTTCTTCCTGTCAGTCAGTTCTGCGGTGGGATACTTGCAGGCTGGTAGAATCCTATTTGAGCCCAGTGCATGACTGACTGCAAGTCTCTATTAAGTGAAAGTCAGTCATGGCCCTATATGGGCTATATTTTCTCTTATGTGGCTATTTAGCTGAAACCATGGGTTTCTGAAGACTCCCTGCATCTCTGTAACCCATGCTAACACAGGGGATGGGACTTTACAGAGGGCTCTAAAGACATGAATCCTGCCGTAGCCAAAAGGACTTCATCCACTAGCTAGGGGAGGAATTAATAGACTCAGTCCCCCTGGTCGTTGAAACATCTAGCCCCGCTGCACTGCATTGGGTTACACCCCCAGAGCCCTTTGGTTACAAGGGGCTGCACCGTTCAGAGGAAAATTCTCTGTCGCCTTTTGTATCACTGAGGAAGAGCATGTCTCTTCTCTCCCTTCAATGCAATGTCTCCCAACCTCTTTGCTGCTAAGGGGTAAGACACTTGTTTTTGGAAAGGAGGGCTGTTGAAGCAGGAGGACTGAAAACAACCACCCTGATGGGTGCAGATGGAGAGGATCTCTGCTTAGACAATGAAGGCTTTGTACTTGTGCAAAGCTTCAGTTGGCTAAAGGGGGACTAGTGGGAAGGGGAAAGTCTGCTTGAGTGATTCAGAATAAGGAAGCCAGGAGAAGGGCTGGGGTCTATGGCTTGGTCTCATCATTAAGGGAGAAGAGGCAGCGTTTGCTAACACAACCAGTGCTGCTAAAAGCTGGCTTCTCATGGCTACTGAACTGTTCCTTTCAAACAAGGGGGTCAGTGTGCTCTGGTCTCAGCTACCACAAGGAAACATGGGGTACTGGAAGGAAACTAGACTGGTTGCATCCTTACTGGATGCTGATTGAGGGCCAGTGGGACGCTGGGAACCCCCTCCAACATGGCCCCAGCATCGAGGCCTCCAGGCCTTTCCCAAGGCAGAGGTCATGGGACCCCAGATGAGCAAAGTTCAAGCTGGCATCAACACTCTGCTCCTCATCAGGGGAGGCAATAACCAATGACGGCTGATGTGGTTTGGTGAGGTCTTCCTTCCCAGGAGTGATCTTTTAAAAGATTGTCAGCCTTGGCAAGGGTGGGCTGCCCTGAGCCTGCTGTAGGCCATGATGACCCTAAGCCTGCTGCCACAATTAGCCCCCACCCCTTCCACCTGCCCCACAAAGTGAAAAAATGCAAGGCAGTTATTCTTTGGAGCATGCCCAGGACCAGTGTGGGGCTCTCAGCCCTAGGAGGCATGCCCCTCGTGCATGCTGCTGGGTGTTTCCAGTACTGCTCTAACAACAACCACACAGCGTTTTGTCAGCATGTGACACATACAGCCCAGGTGCAAAGGGATGGGGCTTGTTTCTCAGCAGTGGTCTTGGGATTGCTGAAGAGATTGCATAGACATAATGTGGACATTGGTATCAGAAGCGGACTGGCCAAGTTTGCCAATGACACCAAACTTTGGGGTAAAACGTCCACACTCGCGGACAGGATGGTTACCAGGCTGACCTTGACAGGCTCAGAAAGTGGGCAGATGAAAACCTAATGGTGTTCAACACCAAAAAATGCAAGGTATTCCACCTTGGGAAGAAAAACCCACCACATGCTTATAGGCTCGGCAGTGCTACGTTTGCTAGCACCATGGCTGAAAGAGACTTGGGGGTCATGATTGACCACAAGATGAATATGAGCCACCAATGCGATGCCGCAGCTAGTAAAGTGAGCAAAAAGCTGGCTTGCATCCATAGATGCTTTTCAAGCAAGTCCCAGGATGTCATCCTCCCGCTGCACTCGGCCTTGGTGAGGCCGCAGCTGCAGTATTGCATCTAATTCTGGGCTCTACAATTTAAAAAGGATGTGGAGAAGCTCAGAAGAGTGCAGAGGAGAGCCACACGCATGATCAGAGGGCAGGAGAACAGGCCTTATGATGAGAAGCTGAGAGCCATGCAACTCTTCAGCCTGGAAAAGCATGGGCTCAGGGGGACTTGGTGGCAGCCTATAAGTACATCAGGGGTGTGCATCAGGATCTAGGGGACCGCCTGTTCACCAGAGCACCCCAAGGGATGACGAGGTCAAACAGTCACAAACTCCTCCAAGGGCATTTCAGGCTGGACATAAGGAAAAACTTCTTTACTGTCCAAGCCCCCAAGGCCTGGAACAGACTGCCGCCGGAGGTGGTGCAAGCACCTAATCTGGACTCCTTTAAGAGACGTTTGGATGCCTATCTTGCTGGGATCCTTTGACCCTAGCCAACTTCCTGCCCTTGGGTCAGGGGCCTGGACTTGATGATCTCCTGAGGTCCCTTCCAGCCCTAATGTCTATGAAATCTATGAGACCAACTCAAAGAGCTATTGGTCAACCAAAAATCGCTGGGCTAGAAATAGTGGTCCTGGATGAAACAATGAAATTCTACAGCCTGTGATGCACGGGAAGCCAGCCCAGATCTTTGCTGGCCCTGAAAGCTATTAAATCCCTCCACAGACTGATCAGCATGTTGAACTAGAAGCCGTTCGCAAGTAGGACAGATGCTGGTAGGGGAACAGTGCAGGTTATCTGACTGCCAAAACACCACGTACCGCCTCTACCAGACACAGCCCAATCGCGTGTACAGCACCCAGTGTGCTGATGGCCTGGAACATGACTCAGGGCACCAGGCACTGAGATAATGGAAATAAAAGCAACAATGCAATGATGATACCATATTTTCTTGCATACAGTGCACCCCAGCATAGAACCAATGCTGGATTTGAAAGACAGAATAAAGTAAAAAGATCTTCCATTGTTCTAGTCCCTGGGGATTACATGCAAGTTTTAGTTTGGCTTTTGCACAGTAAGGGCAGAAACTGCACTCACCATATTTCCTTATATATAATACACATCCCAGTTTTAGCAGCATTTTTTTTAAAAGGCTGTGTGTTGTACGCAAAAGAAATGGTATTTACTAGGGAAGCCAGAAGTGGCTCCTGATATATGGGAGAGAGGGTGATGTAGAAACTACAGGCAGGATGTAGAAAGCTGAACTCCTGGATTCTCCCCCTATCATCCCAGAGACTCATCATGTTCATTCAAGTTTCATCTTCCCTGTGTTCCAGTTTCTCCATCATATATAACAGAGCACCAGCAACATGGCAGGGGATAGGTGGTTCTGGATGGCTGGATTAGCCGGTTGTATGCAAGATCCCTGAGTGAAAGAATTAGGGCCTTGTTGTCTGGCATCCTGATAACCCCCTTTTTGGAGCACAGGTTCTTTGCCAGAGGAATGTTTGATTTTTCTGCAACACTGTCCCGTGATCCAGGCCCCCATGTGCAACTGGACCTGGAAGACAGTCTCCTCCCAGTCTCTACATAGGTTTCTGTGGAAAAAAACCCCACCCCTAAATCTCCAAGCAGGTTCCTCTACATCCAGCCTACAATCCAGCACAACTAAACCAATGCTGCTTTGACCTGGACCACGATTTCACCCATGTTACATCCGAAGGGGTGTAAAGCAGGTGAAAGCAGGAGTACCTAGTTAGGGAAGACCCAGCAGAATTGGCTTTGAGCAAAGAGTCCCAACCCAGTCATTTCTATCACTGGCCATATGTTCTTCCTCCTCCCTCACTGCTGTCCCTGCAGGTCTCACTAAGCTCAGGAGTACGGGTCAGCCTTGAGAGTTTAGTATGTGGCATTACTGGGGGGTCAAAATGGCTATCACATGCATCACTGTTTGTGTCCTACACCTTCGAACCCAACTGTCTTGTGCCACCCCACAGGCTATACCGATGTCCAACCACATTCCTACAGAGATGGCAGACCTAAGGCCTAGTCTCTCCCATGCACAGAAGGTCAGCCTCATGGCTTAAAGGTGACCTGATGAGGGTGGAGAAAAATCAGTCAACCCTCCTTGATTTTTTTGTGCTAGATAAAGAGAAACTGGTGGTTTCTTTCAGCTTAGATCATCCTTAGAAACTGCAAAATGTCATATCTTCCTCGTCTTGGACAAAGAGCTGTGAGAGAGACAGACTCTTTTACAGAGGTCTCTTTTTCCAAGGAGATGATATTTGAGTGAACCATGTTCCAACAAAGCCCCAGTAATGGAGCATTTCAAAGGCTTGATTAAAAAAAAAACAACCCACATTTCCCTCTAAATGACTCAGGCACGGTTAACCAGTTCCCTCTTCGAACGTCTTCTTGGAAAAAGAGGTTGATAAGGCCTGAGTTACTAAAAGAGAAGCCAACGGAGTCACCCTCTGAGATGCCATGCATACAACAAGCAGGCTGCATGGTCACAGCGCTGTGTCGCCGTCATTCACAGCCTGTTTTGAAGGCCAGTAGCTGCCTCTACGCATGGACCCATCTCAATGTGTCCACACAGTAAAGCTGCCTTGACTCAACTATACCGGAGATAGGAGGTTATCCATAGTAGTTGGAAGTCAGTCAGCAGACGAGGCAGAGCAGCATCTTATAGACAAACTGAACCAGTATGGCCAAAGCAGTACAAGCCCCGCAGTGCACACATCACAATAGCACTGGGATCAATCTTAGGCAGGAATCACTCTTATACAGGAACTATGCGCTAGTAGCATAAAGCACTTTATTACATAGCTGCAGTTGCATTAGGGGTTGTGACAACTATCTCAGTTAAGACCAAAATTAATAGAAAAGAACCACCCGCCTACTCAGCAGAGACAGACCACATCAAATCTGCGGACGGACCAGGACCATATCTTTGATACTGCCGGTCTAATCCTTCCCCGCGTCTTTAGAGCGCTCATCTATGGAGCTGTCACAAACTCAAAGGAACCTGTCATTGAATTAACCCCATTGGCTATTTAAACCCCACAGGGACTGCTCTGTTTCAGGCTTTGAAAACCAGTTCACGAAGTGGAGGGGAGGAGATGAACCCCTTTCAAAAAGAGGGTTAGGGCTGAAAAAGCTTGGGAGAAAGTCAGCGATAATAGCTTCCATGAGGATTGAGCTCCGTTGAAGCAATCCTGGGCTTATCAGAGGGAGTCAGGTCTCTCACTTGCAGGGATAAGATGCTGACAGCTGTCTTTTGTCCCTCCACCAGACGCCACCCACCAGGGGCTCTGAAAGGGCAGTGGTATATGTGGTATGTGTGCCTGTGTTTTTTCCCCTCCCTTGATTATTTTCCATGCTCTCATTTCCTTCTTAACTTAATCCCATTTAGAAAGCAGCAATGACAACTCAGGGCCTTGTGCCTCCCAACACCCACTGCTCCTCAAATAGATGCACGAAGACACAGCACCAAATGAGACAGAGTGACGCGGTTTTGCAGCACATGGGGCATGCAACAATAGAAAGAGTTTGCTGCTTCGTGACACCTTCTGTAAAGCAACAGAAACCAGCCTTCCTCCTCCTTGACTGCCTTAGAGGCTTCCTGGGCTGCTCAAGGGGCAAATGAACATCTCCTACACATCAACAGTTCCCAGCACATCTTAAATTGCCGGGGATTTCTGTGGCCCCATCACTGTAATGTCTGAAAGCCTCAGAGTGTTTCAGGGGTGCAGGCTGTAGCCATGTTGGTCTAAGGACGCAGGCAGGCAAGGCTCTTTGGGTGAATCTGATATCTTTTATTAGACCAAAATAAATAGATGGAAAACAATTATTAAGCAAGCGAGGGGTTGGGTTTTTGAACCTGAAAGCTTGCTTAATAATTGTTTTTCATCTATTTAAGTTGGTCTAATAAAAGATATCAGATTCACCCAAAGAGCCTTGTCTGTCAGAGTGTTTCATATATTTGTCCTCACCACAACACAGGGTATTCATCCAATAAATAAGCTGCTGCCTAAGGAAACAATGCAATAAAAACAGTGCAGAGCATCAAGTCCAAGTCCAAGCTAACCTCAGACCCAGATCCCTGGAATTAATTGGTGGAGAGAGGGGGGTGCACAGTACAGGGAATCAGTTCAGGCTTTGATCTCTGGAACTCATAGTTTCATAGTTTCTAGGGTCGGAAGGGACCTGAGCAGATCAAACGCAAACTCAAACAACTTCTTGGGTTTTGGTTCTGGATCCAGAAGGTGGCTTTTTTTTGGCAAAAAAGGGAGAAATCTCAGGGGAATAATGAGCAGCAATCTCTCAAGAGTGGCAGGTCTGTAAAGCTGCCCCCCTGCAATGGAGGAAAATCTCAGGAGATCAGAGGAAAACTCATGTAATGTTGGAAGGTGATGGCCTTGTGATTTTTGGCACTGTGGCCATAAATTTCAGGGGGGGCAGTTTGTGAAGTGGTGGGCCATCATTCCTTAAATTTGTAGTGCGGCACGAGGCAGAAGAGGGGATGGGAAAGTTTGTGGTTAGGAGGGATCCTAGTTTTCTCTGCTAAAAAAAAATCCCCAATTTTTGGATTAAAAAGGTAACCCAGAACCCACATTTTTCTGTGATTAAAATGAAACACTACTATATATATATATATATATATATATATATATAT